GGATGCCCGACAGTTCACTACTCACAGAAAATGAAGTACGTACCTGGTCACCAGCAGAGTTCGCGTCAAGCTCACGTAAAATGGATTCTACTTCCGAGTCCACTTTACGAAACTGCAAACAAAAAACATCAATATCTTCAGCATTAGGTACGCCATTCCGGGCATGAGTTGGTAGTCGGCGAATGGTGGTCGGAAGACGCTGTACAGAAAATGAATGAACACTTGCCGGCACTTGCCAGTTGCCATTCTGCATTCTTTAGCGGCACATGATGGCGCAAGTTGGTTCGACCCCTAGCCTGCTTGGCCGTTATTCAGGTAAAGCTTCAAAAAATAAGAAGAAGAATCATAACTAGTGTACAGTATACAGTTTTTCGCACCGCCGTTTTCAAAAACGGGGGCGCGGAACGCCGCTGTTTTTGGCACAACTTTTCATGATTGACTCGCCGCGATGAGCTGCATCGAATCAAATACCCCTTTTATGCAAAAATATCAACTTTGAAGTTTGACTTTTTTGACCTGACATTGACCTGACCCCCACCAGGAAGTGACCTAAACCGTTTCTGATGGTCTTATAACCAACACCATTGAGTTGGAAATGAAAAATTAGCCATAAAATATGCATAGCAAAGCCCTAGTAACATTGGGTTCATGTGCTGACCCTTGCGTGACCTGACCTGTTATCAGTGACCTGTAATAGCAACATATGTACTAGGCAACTGTCGCCTTATCGCTGATTTTCGATAAAATGCGTTTTACTCGATGTTAAAGCGCATTCCCTAGAAGACCCGTGAACAGCACAACATTTTATCTTTGACCTGACCTGTGACGTCATCGGCGACCCCGAGGTCAATGAAATTACTATTCCCTTAGCAAATTTGATAGGGCTTTCGAACACCGTTTGAATTTTGCGGATCCGTCCAGTAGGTAGTTACAGAGAAACGGGGGGGGGGGGGCAAAAATAGCCCCCCCCCCCCACCACCACCAGGTCGCTTTATAAACAGACCCCACCAGGGTGTGGGTTAGGGTCCAAGGTCATCGGTTCACCTGCCAGGTCAGGTCAATGACCCAAAAGTCGGAAAAGTCGGGACCTGTTAGAATGTCGTAAAGTGTGGCTGCTATGGGGTTTTTCGGGATGCTGATCACGAATATCATGTTAGTTTTGATCACAGAAGATGTATTCATGCACTTAGGCAGCTCGGGTCAGGTCAGGTCAACCAGTCGGCAGTCAGGTCAACCTGCCAGATGTTTGTAGTACCTACGTGTCAACCGCTTCAGACAGCTTCGTAACATGTCACGAAGGCACCAAAACTACTCGTACTTCGCAAATGTTAAAATGGTTGCTAAATTCGAATTCAGCTTTTAAAAACTAGCCTAGAAACATGTAAAACTCGAAAAAAGAAACCGAGGTCATCAAAGGTCAATGACCTGACCTGACCTTCAGGTCACCCTGACGCCGACCCTAATACATGGGACCAGCATCTTATCACATGTTTGAACGCTGGAGACCACGAAAAGACTGCAGACGCGCGGCTAACGCGGGCCGACATACGCCGAATCGCGATTCTAGCCAAACATGGTCTCGGCAAAAAGGTTACAGGTCAAAGGTCATTAGCGATTAGGGTCAGGGTCATGACATTTTTAGGATAGGTGTGAGATTGATTAACTCGAGGGTACTGAAAGTTTTGTCGCGATCGGCCGCTTTTTACGAGTTTTTTTTTCGAAAAATCTTAGGAGGCCGTTTCGCCCCCCCCCCCCTACGGGGCGCGGGTTAACAGTTGTTGCTGTTTGGAAGCCAAACCGTTGATGTTAGGTCAAATCTGAGGACACACCGCAGAAAGAGCAGGAAAAAAGCTATCGAATGAAATTTTCAATTACAGTTGTTGCTGTTTGGAAGCCAAACCATTGATCCCAGTAAACATGCCGACGTCGGCCCGACGTCGGGCCGAGGCTCGGCCCGACGTCGGCCCAACGTCGGTTCAACCTCGGCCCGACATCGGCTGGACGTCGGATATGCCCGCATGTTCCGACGTCCAGCCGAAGTCCAGCCGACGTCGAGCCGACGTCGGGCCGAGATCGTCTGCCGAGGTTGACGAGATCGTTTGTCGTTGGACCGACGGGGCCGACGTCGGCATGTTTATTGGGACAACGCGCCAAAAATATCAACCGGCGGCGGGATTCGAGCCCCCCAGTCGCCGACGTCGGCATGTTTACTGGGACAACACGCCAAAAGCATCAGCCGGCGATGGGATTCGAACCTCATGTCATTCGAACGAGAGGTTAGTGCGCTAACCACTACACCACACAGCCAACTAACCAACTTGGTTTGTTTTGTTGGGTTATGCCCTTTCGGTCTGACAAGACCATTTCAGACCCGGAAGGATCATAGGATGGAGACATTGGTCTTCTTGGCGAGCACCCTGGGTCCAGTTCATATAGAGTCCCTGGTCCCATTGCTATTACGTGACACTTATTGGAAAGGGCGACCCCACAATGGATTCATATAGCCACTCTTACACACCTGCACCAACGTTTCCCAAAGTGTCTGTACTGTGTTGTACTGTGTACTGGCAGCGCTGATCTGTTTCGCCGGCTCGCTCATGTTGGCGCGCGCGCAGGCGGGTCAAAGTTCGGATGTGCCGGCGGCCGGCAGCGGCGAAGGCCATCTGCAGCGGCCGCCGGGCAGTGGGGGTCAGGCGGAGGGGAGGATCGGGTTTGCGCGTCGTTCGGTGTGCAGGTGCCGACCGCGGCAGTGGAAATACAGTTCCGGCTTACAGTGCCCCTTTGATAAGTGGCACATTGGCAAAGTGACACTTGCCGACTGGCCTTTCTATATGAACTGGGCCCGGCCCTGGTGAGTTGCCGGGGCTGAGCCTGACCAAAGGATAGGCCGAGAAGCCCCCAAGCACTCACCGCACCCGGCTACGGGCGAGCTCGGCTTACGGGCAATCCCAAATGGGAATGGGATAAAGTTTCCCGTCCAGTCCGGATCAGGGGGTTGCGGCGTGGAGGAAGATTTGAGTTTCCTGAGGATATTTTGAATACAGAAGCTCTTTATGAAACATGAAACATGTATTTTATATTATTTTAACGGTCAAAACAGCGGCCGATGTCGGTCCGACGTCGCCCAGACGTCGGCCCGACGTCGGCTGGACCTCAGCAATTGATCTCGGTCCGACGTCGGCCCGACGTCGGCTGGACCTCGGCTGGACGTCGGAACATGCGGGCATGTCCGACATCCAGCCGACGTCGTGCCGAGGTTGGACCGACGTCGGGCCGACGTCGGCATGCCGATGCCGAGTTGCCGACGTCACGCCGACGGCCGACGTCGGGCCGACGTCGGCATGTTTACTGGGATGTTAGGTCAAATCTGAGGACACACCGCAGAAAGAGCAGGAAAAAAGCTATCGAATGAAATTTTCAAAGGTGCTGTAGCTTTATTTGCTTCCATGTTATGCACAGCATTGTTGAAAATTGTTTAACTAGACCAATTTTTAACTTTGATGACCTCTGGTGACCTGACATAAAAATACCCAAAGTATTTTACTGGTTATTTTACACACTCTTTCGAATGCCACTTATACGAATGCCACTTATACATGGCCCAGGAGCTGAGTTAGACAGGGGGTGTGGATTAATGCCCCCAGCACAACAAAAACTCAGACCACCAGCACAACTCAGGTTAACAGCCTGTCCACTCAAATCAATTGTCTTTTAACTCAGATGTGGTTATTAAGTTGACAGCCTGAAAGTGGGTGGTACAAAGTACAAATTTTGCTACACAGAGGTAGGTAGGTACTCACCAAGGCCTCTAGTGTATCAACTGCGGCTGCAGTGCTCATTCCGATTATGTAAGATGAATTCCCTGGAAATGAAATTAAATGATTATGAATATTTCAGCCAGACTCAAATCCACTGTTGACATTTAACCAGGGTGGCAACTGGCAGGCAATTGCAAATTGCACCCGATAAGCAATTCAAAGGGAGACCTTTGACGACTAAAGCACGCACAAATTGACCTCTCTGCGCTGCAAATGCCAAAAATAAAAACTATGCTAAAGAACGGTTTCAGGCAGGCATTATGTACCTTTTAGGATGGGTTACAAAGGGTTGGATTGTAAATTAACATGTGCAAAATGTCTAAAAGCGAATAATGGCTAATTATTGCTAATTTAATGCCAATTATGGCGCAACTGTGACATTGCGGTGCAGAGTAACAAATGCAAAAAATATCACCGGTATTCAATCATTTGAGGTAACTAGCTGCTTACCTCCTCAGTAAGCAAAATGTCCGACTGTGTACGATTTCTAAATTGATAATAAATCCGTGGGAAATGCCGTGCAATCCCCCCACAAACGGGTAGCACCGCATTTATGACATTTATAATTGGACAGCAGTATGCGCACAAATATTGAAGACTTTTAGTAAAACTCTCGTAAAGGGCGACATCAAGAGGAAATTCTGATAGATACGGGCATACTGATACGGGAAACGGAATGCGAATATTCTTGATGTTGATACTGCTGAGTTGATACTTGATACTGAGTTGATACTGAAAGTGCATGTACATTCTCCCCTAAACAATGGTCAATGGGCTACATGAATGTAGAAGGCTGAGGCATTGTGCGTGGACCAGAGAAGCGACAGTTTAAAAAAATCATTTTTCTTCGCTCCCTTACATGAACATTAGGGACCAGAATGAATAGAAATGCTGAGCAAGCTGTGACAAGGGGATTGTTTCTAAAATTGCCTTAGAATTGTCCCTTTGGAGGAATTTATTAAAATATAGCGGTTAATTGCTCATTCAGAGAATTTTGCGATAATTTTCGCTAGTTGATACACTTCTACCACTGCTAAAAAATATGCATTTCAGTCAACATTGCAGTTAAAGGTATTATCAGGGTTTTTTCCGAAATTTCGGAGTTACTCAGTGAAACGTGTAGATGAAGGTGGCTGAGGCCCCGATCCGAAATCATTCGTCTCAAAATTGCCTAATTTCCAAATGGTGGGCCTCCAAAGTTGATCCGTCTGCCAGCCAGTACCTGGAGGAGGCAGTACCAAGTACTCGGATACATTTCCCTATAAGTCCATAGGCTTAACACTAGCTAGAGACTTCTAGAGATATTTTGTATGCCAGATAAGGCCGTCGCATACCAGATAAGGCCGCAATGGCCGTTCAACGTTACGTGGGGAAATTGGAGAAATCTAAAGACTTTTTTCTCTCTGACGTCTCCACTCCGCAACTGGCAAGCGTTGTTAGCATTGGCTCGTGTCGTCGTAAATAAGATTTGTTTGACGGATATTCCGTTAGTTGAGTGTGTTGTTGTAATTTCTGAGGCTGTATGAGTTGGACGGAATGGCGCCATCCCGCCAAGTGCGAAATCGGCGGTGTAGTGTGAAGGGTTGTGGAAAAACAAAGGCTGATTGTCATTTGTCCCGGTCTCAACTTCTTCCATGTTCCGAAAACCGTGTCAAGTAAGTCCAATTTCAAATCCTGGAGATTGCGGGGCAGGCACTAAGTGAAAAACAGTTGCATATTTTACGAAATTGTATTAATATATGTTTTTATGTCAAACATGCACAAATGTAATGATCAAATGTTTGAAGTGTTTGAAGTGTTTGAACACACAAATGTTTGAAGTGTTACTCATACATCAAACAGTAAGGCGTACGAGTAAATTGTGTGGATGAAGTCTGAGTGGTCCGAGGAAAAAAAAAACAAGCGAACTTGACCTAAGTCCTAATATTACCTATTACCTAATAACCTACTAAACTACAGCCTCCCACGAACCTACAACCTACATGCTTCAGCTTACAACCTACAACCTACAACTCGGAGTTCATCTACACATATAACTAAAGTACTCAATGTACTATCTGTGGTTACTTGTTATCTGTTACTTGTACTGGAATGGCAAGCCTTGCAATTTTCCCAGACCTTTGATCACAAAGTCATGCTGTTTTTAGGAGACTTGGTTGGGTGGCTGTCCTAGAAGATGGCTTGGCGGACAAGCAGGTTGACGAAGCACTTGTGTGTAGCTGCCACTTCAACCCTCAAGATCTTTTGCTTGGAGAAAGGGCTAGAACGTCACCACATGCCGTACCGTCAATAGCAGTCGTGGAAGGTGGGTTTGGCATTTCCTTTGTAATTGAACTGGTTTTTAGCACAACTTGTAAAAGTGGCACGAACATTGTTACATTGAACACTTGATGTGATGTAGAACCTGATAGCTGATGTTGAGTCTTCCAAATTGTATGAACAGCAGCTGGTGCATTGAGCCTGACAAGTGACGTTGGCACCCTAGTAGTCTCGTGTTTGAGTGTGGTCACCTAAAAAACTTGTGTGTAACCAACCATAAAGTTTTTAAATATAATTTTGGGATAATATTGATGTGGTGTGTTTTGGTCATATGGCTTGGATGGTGACTAACACTAATTAAGGAATGCTTCTTCACGACAATCTCCAGTCTCCTGAAGCACCATCATCTATATTTTCTTCCCAGGGATTCATCCCTGAATCACAATCATTACCTAGGCCAGATAACTTTGCTGGGCCACATGGTCAAAACAGTTGCAGCTACAGGGTAGGTATACCAGCTGTACATGTATTTGACAGACTAAACATTCTTTCTGTACATCTGGACAGGTTAACTTGATAGGCGGCCGGCGCGCGCCCATCGGCACCGGCGGCCGGCGCGCGACCATCCCATCGGCACCGGCGGCGGGCGCGCGCCCATCGGCACCGGCGGCCGGTGCGCGCCCATCCCATCGGCACCGGCGGCCGGCGCGCGACCATCCCATCGGCACCGGCGGCGAGCGCGCGCCCATCCCATCGGCACCGGCGGCCAGCGCACGCCCATCGGGCACCGTCGGCGGGCGCGCGTCCATCGGCACCGGCGGCCAGCGCGCCCATCCCATCAGCACCGGCGGCGGGCGCGCGCCCATCGGCACCGGCGGCCGGCGCGCGACCATCCCATCGGCACCGGCGGCGAGCGCGCGCCCATCCCATCGGCACCGGCGGCGGGCGCGCGCCCATCGGCACCGGCGGCCGGTGCGTGCCCATCCCATCGGCACCGGCGGCGGGCGCGCGCACATCGGCACCGGCGGCCAGCGCGTGCCCATCGGGCACCGGCGGCGGGCGCGCGCCCATCGCCGGTGCGCACGCGCGCGCCCATTGCATAGAGAGGTGATGTGATTGACCCTGTTGGCCCCCCCCTCCCCCACCCTCTGACCCGCCCGCGCGCCCCGACAGGTCGTCGTGTAGCGCGGCGCTCCGCCAGCTGCTGTGCTGGGGTTGGCGGCGCTCAGCAGCTACCAGCTGATGCAGCGCGCCGTGCTCGCTCGCCGCGGCGCAGTGTTTATAGCGCGTGCGCCGGGCGCTGACGGCAGTCGTCTGGCAGCGACAGCTCTGCCGGTGACGGCACACGCTGCTGCTGCAGAAACTGGACAAGGGCCTGCTTGGGCTCCTGGTCCTGGATCGGTACGCCGGCTCAGTCACCTGATGACGGCGGCGCAAAGCGTGACCTACCCGCCCTACAGCCGGCCCAGCAGGGTGAGTAGTGAACTGAGTACTGAGTAGCGCTCAGAGTTAGCTTGAAGTTGTTTAACATGATGCACTGTTCTTCATGAGTCGTCCCCATCGCTGCTTGTGACTTGCAAGTTCCCTCTTTTTCGGCAGTGCGTCCCAGCAGCGATTTTCACCTCTGAGAAGTATAGTTGCCGTACTAGTGAAAAAGTGTATATCTTTGAAATAAACATTCCGTTTCATCTGCCCACTACCACTAACGCCCCTCTGCCCTCTCCTGCAGCGGACGGGGAGACCCACCTGACCGCTCCTTCCCCCTGTTCTGCTGCAGGCGGGGAGGCCCGCCCTGACCTTCTCCTCTACCCTCTGCCCTCTCCCGCAGCGGACGGAGAGGCCTGCCCGGGCCCAGTGCCGCACGGAGAGAGGCGGTGGCGCTGGAGGCCAACACCCCGGCTCGCGACCTGTAGCTGACGGTGCTGGAGCCGCGAGTCACCGTGTTGGCTGGCCATGGGAACTTGGAAAAGGTGGGTCTCCGCGCAGCGGAGGAAGGGGCGGCGGCTGACAGTGGTGGCCGCCAACGGGGAGCTGGGCGGCGTGGGTCCATGCATAGCGGGGATGTTCGAAAGGACAGCATCAGCTGCATTGTTTGAAGAGCTGCTGCAGTTGGGCGTTGAGATATGATCGCAGACTTGCAAGGAGATGGGCTCCTGAGATGCGTGCTTCGATGATCCGGCTGATCGCTGTTCTATGAGGTCGTATTACCCGCCCGCGGTCACCAGGCCGGGGAGGTATATACGTCTACAGCAGCTGTGTTATTTGTCTGTCCCGGTTGTATCACCCAGTCTTCCCCCGTCCTCAGGCCGGTGAGGTGCGTCTCCAGCTGCGCTGTCAGACGATCCAGTGGAACGAGCAGCAGCCCATGTACCCGTCCCGGCTGTGCCGGTTTGTCTCCCAGCTTGAGCGGCGCCGGCCGACCGCTGCGCTGCTCTACAACTGCCACGTCCACACACGATGCACGGTCAGTCATTATACCGAGTAATGCTAATTATAACCGCGGGTGTTTTGTTAGAATGGCCCTGAGAGTGTGCCTTTGTTGTGTGATTATTGTTGAGTGCGTTTTCTAGTTGTGAAGTACACTGTGGTAGGCTCGACATTACTACTCATTAGAAGTGGCGGGAACACTGCCCCAATGCCCTATTGTCGATTGGAAATGAATAACTACAGCCGCGGCTCCTGACTGTATCCCTCCTCAGCCTCGGTCTACTGGAAGGCGCTGCTGGCGCCGGCCCTGTGGGCCGGCTCCCAGCACCCGCTCACAGAGCAGGTGTGCCACGCCGACTGGCTGCACTGCGCCGACGACCGGGGGACCGCCGGCGCTGAGCCGGCCGGCTCGCAGCTGGACCTGCCACTAGAGACGGACCTGTGCGACCTGGACGTGCGGCTGTGTCAGACCGGCTGGTGCTGGGCCGGCGCCGCCCGGTGCGCTGTCAGCTGGACGGCCGGCCCGTGCTGGCCGCGCCCCAGGAGGCCGACGCGCCGGCTCCCGGCGGCGGCGGCGAGCGGGCGGTACCAAGATACCTATAAGAAACAGGTAGGTCCGATGTTTTGAGCAAAGCCCCCGTGACGTCATTATCATTTTTTATGTGGAGAATTCTGCCTACAAATAAAATATCCTACATACCAAAATTCGTATTATGTAATGAAAAATTACAATCTTTCAATTTCATCACGAAAACTATATAATTTATTTTGAAAAATTAAAGCCCTTCAAGCGTTTGTCCCAACCCCCGCTACAACTTTGGTCACGTGACTACGGTGGTAAACTTTGCTTTTTGCAATGTTGTGACCTAAACGGAAGTAATAAATGTTGAAGATGTATTATTTATGTTGTTTGAAGCAGCAATCGTGTAACTAGATTATGAAATTATTTATAAACTGCTGTAAAGAGGTCACGTGATGCTACCAGATTATGTACACGACAGCATCTTTTTGAACTTCGATTTCGAGTACTTGTACCTTCTTTGAGGCCTAATAATGGACGTTTTCAGACATGAAATGAAACACTGAATCTAATGACGCCAATATTTAATCCTTTTTGCACTTCCAGACTGAGATATCCTGGCATGAACTTTGGTCAATTTGTGTGTAAAGCCTATGGTGAAGGGAAAACTTCACGCCCAGCTGACGTCACAGACCTCGGCTACCAAATCGTGTCCGGTGGGGGTCGGGCGGTACGGGCGCTGCTGCAGCTGCCGACAGCTGCCGCCGCCGCGGACAGCTGCCCGCTGCTGGTGGTCGTCTCCGAGCCGGCCCTGCTCTGCTGGCAGCCGGCACTGCTGCTCTGGCTGTCCCTGGCCACTCAGCTGGCCAGCAGCTGAGTGGCCCGGCGCCGCCGCCACTACCCCAGCCGCCCGAGCCGCCGCCGCCGCCGCCATGGATGTGCCCCGGCCGCAAGGACACTCGGGTACCTCGCGATCGGCACGGAGCCACACCACGGAGAGGAACCTACCCGCAGTGTCACCCAACACCTCCGCTGCGGCGGCCGTCTCCCCCACTCCGCCGGCGCCGCCCGCCGCTCCGACTTTGGCCTGGCTGCCGGCCCTGGAGCGTCTGGAGGTGCGCCTTCAGATCAGCGCGGTCACCGTCACCGTTCCGGCCGGTCCAGAGAGCGGCGGCGGGGCGGCCGGGGACGCGGAGCGGACGGCGGACCCGCTCCCGGCCGCGGCCGGCCACCACCCGGCGCCGGTACCGGGCCGGGTCCGCAGCAGCAGCGACTCGGGCCACCGGTGCTGCCTGCACGGACAGCTGGTCTCTGTGCTGCCGTCAGTCCGACTGGACAGCGCTGCGCTCAAATCGGCCGCCCTGCCGACAGTGCCGGAGGTGCCCGTCCAACTCACCAGACCTTCAGCGGCCGCAGGTCAGTCGCGGCCGCCGCACGGCCAGCTCATACCGGCCACTGAGGAGGGCTTTTCCATAAAACTCTCAGTGCTAGTGATTTTGGCATTGGCATGGGGGCGGGTATTAGTACTCACTACTCACCCTGCTGGGGCCGGCTGAAGGGCGGGTAGGTCACGCTGTGCGCCGCCGTCAACAGGTGACTGAGCCGGTGTACCGATCCAGGACCTCAATTATGATTATAAGTAAAACGGGATGTAGGGATGAAGTCAGCTTGTGCTCAAGACTGACGTCATGACAATCGACACGTGAATATAACGGGCATGTTTGCTCCTTGCTGTCGTGCGGGCATTCGAATCTCTCCCAGTTTGTTGGCCCGTGTCTCTCTCCCGTCCCCCGGGTCTCTCCGCCGGCTGACTCCGCTCTGTCTGTTCCAGCCGGCTCCCAGCTGCGCTCGCCGAGCCAGACGCAGCAGGTGATGTCGCCGTCGGTCGTGGTGCGCGACTGTGCGTCCATCCCGTGTCCAACGCCCCCCCCCCCCCACACCGCGCGCTGCTGCCGGGCCCGCCGTCGTAGTTTTATGGCCTTGCGCCGTCAGTCGCCAGCTGGTGGTGGCGACCCGTGATCGCTCGCGTACGTTCGCCGGCGCGCCCATTGCAGAGAAGGGGTTCGCGCATGCCCATTGTAGAGGGGCGCGCCCCTTGCGGAGGCGGTACGCGCTACGCTGTAGACAGTAATGCTTGTTGGGTAGCCCCTTTGCACATTGTTTGTTCATGGATGTAAATACAAGTTACATGACTGATGAGTGTAATGCTTACATTTTTGAACTAAGAAATGCCACAGGGCAGGTTACCTTGGTGAGTTTCTGATATCAACATACTGAACATAAGAGCAGAATAATTATCCATAGAGCGTTAAGGATTTTAGCCACCGAATTCACCAGTCAGTAATTGCACATGGTGGCACCATGAGCATGAGTACCTTGCCTTGTCCGATCCTATTCACAACTAGCAAGTAGAATGTGGGAAAAGGCAGGGAACTTCAAAGCATGCGCATATGTAGATAGCTGATGATTCTCTCTGTTCAAGCACGATCTGGCACTCTGCAGCCTGTTCTGTTCCACATGAGTTGCCGGGACAGCATCACACATGAATTTCTGCATGCTTCAAACAGAAATGCCTTAATTTTCCTTAAAATATATTCATTTTTCACACAAAGACAACAAAAATGTACATGCAGGTGGGTACTGTGGCAAGAAATTACATACAAATGTATTTTGCCATGTAGGTACCCTCCTTTCACATCACAATCATCAATCATAATTAAGAGCACCAAGACGTTCTTTGCGACTTGCGAGCCCAGCCGTGTCAGACCAGCTGATGCAGGGGCTCTGTCACAGGGGGCACAAGGCCCAATGGTTATGTCACAGCACAATGTTGTACAACCTGCTATTCAAGAACACTTAAATCTTGAAAAACCTGTAGCTCTCTTGTCACCTCACTTTTCGCACTCTTGACAAATCACTAATCAGTCAGATCAAGACTGAAAATTGAAGAGGATAAGCTCTTTTGTGGGATGTACTTGCAGTTTCAATTCAATGACATAAATTACTCGAAATTACCATTTAAATTGTACTGTACCATGACGAATCTACCATTGAAAGAAAATTGTATCATGACCCTGCTATAAAAAAACTGAAACAAGCTCCAATTGCATATGATAAATTTGGCGATGTTTATAAATCTTGCTGCCTTAGACAAGCAATTCTTCAATTTGTTTCAATTTCAGTCGAGTTCTTCACCAAAAATCCATCGTATATCGACAACCAATGCCTATCACCGAAATCTTGTAGAAATCCTCAATCCCGCAAAATTTCGCAAGGCCGCTCTTTGTTTACATTATAGTGATGGGCCAATCTGACCGCTCAAGTACTTGTTTTGCGGGAGTAAGTACATTTTTGTCGTTTTTCAAACGGCTATAACTTGCAAAGTATAGCATCAATAGGCATTTTATGTATATCGTTGAAATCGGCAGAGTCTGGAGACTTAACTGATAGGCAATACATTCCGATTCCTTTCAATTTTTAAACCCTGATAATCCCTTTAACAAACAGCAAGATTCTTACAGATAACAAACAGTGTATGTGGTGTGTTTGAGTGGCTCCCATTTCATCATGGGGGCTGTTCAAATATTTCTTACTTGTGTATGAATCGAAATTCATCTATATGTCATTGACATGGCAGAGGCTGAGGAAGAACCGGTTGATCCACGTGTGCCGGTAAGGGTAATCAACTTTGTAATGTAGTTGCGACTTTCGCAGCGTCCCTTGACCCTTAGTAAGTAAACCAAACTAAAACCCCCCTGAGCCCTCATACTGATACCAGTTGATGCCTAAATGGCTATGCAAAATTTGTTGACCCCACCAGCTTTTGTTTGAGGCCAAGGTAGACACTGTGTGATGTTCCATGAAATAGCACCCATGTCCTGTGTTTCAGTTTTGACGAGCTTTGCGTGAAATTGGTGCACAGATCAGTCATCAGTCACACTGGGTCAGTTACACTGAAATCAGTCAGTTACACTGGGCTATAACAGCCTCCAAGCTCCGCCCACTGCGTCCCTACGTCAGCCTTCCGTCACCACACACAGCGACCGCTGTGGCCGGTCGGGACTGGCCACAGCGGACCGTCCACCGCACGCAGCCGTGACGTCAGAGCCCCTACCCCCCACGCCTGCTGGACGCACCGCACATGCCACACACCGCACGCAGCTGTGTGCGGTGCCCGTGAACACCCTTCAGAATAGCAGCGTGCTGCTATCACCGGTGAAACACCACCAGGGTCACTCACATTCAGTCAAGGAAATCACATGTTCAGTCCAGGAAATGGCAAGTGGATTATCTTGTCAGGATTATCTACCAATACCTATGAAGTTTGGAGTTCTGAACCTTTTTCAGAATCTGTGTGCTTGCTTTATTACTTGAGACAGTTATTGGCAGACTTCGTGGCTCTCTATTGAATCTAGGTGACTAATTAATGATCATGGATTATTGTCAATTATATTAGAAATAAATGTGTGATAAATTAAAAAGAAATGGGTCTTCAAGCCTCAGACACCAACCATCCTAGTCCTGGAGTGCCCTCATGACGCACAGCTTCTGGAGGACGTCAAGCACTGCGCGCACACAGCTCACCACGACCCGGGCCGATGGTCTTCAGCTTCACCCTCGGGTACTGAAGGAGAATGCAGCCGTCCTCTCTCACCCACTGCGCTGGATCTTCAGGAAGTCGCTGGACTCCGGTGATGTCCCCCCAGAGTGGAAAATCGGCAACATGACTCGGATATTAAAAAAGCAGATCGCTGCATACCAGCGAGCTACAGGCCGGTCAGCCTGACATCCGTCTGACCGTCTGTTGATAAGGTCCTCGAATCTGTCATCAAGGATGAGCTCCTGCACCATATGTCAACAAACGGCGTGCTTCACAGAGCCCAGCATGGTTTCCTGGCGAAGGGTTCGGGTAGCTCCCAATTGCTTGAGGCACTGGAAGACTGGACTGCCGCCCTGAAAGACCGAACCCCGGTGGATGTGGTCTACCTGGATTTCGCCAAAGCGTTTGACTCGGTGCCACACAAACGTCTTCTCGAGAATCTGAGGTCGTATGGTGTCGGAGGTAAATTTCTCACCTGGATACAGACCTTCCTATTATAGTTGGCCGTCGTCAACGGGTGCTGATTCAGGGCTGCAGCTCGGAGTGGGCACCTGTCTCCACTCAGCGGTGTCCCCCAAGGCTCAGTGTTGGGGCCGACGCTATTCACAATATCCGTCAACGACATGCCATAGAGGTCTCGAGCTATGTGAAGATGTTCGCGAACGACACCAAGCTATACAAGCCACTGACAAATCCATCCGACTGTGGTGATGGTCTGCAGGGTGACCGGGATGCTCTGGCACGATGTTCCTCAAGGGGGCTGCTACCGTTAAACGCAGGGAAGTGTAAGGTGATGCACATGGGCTCAAGAAGCCCTGCGCATGAGTACAGGTTGCCCATCGCCGTGGTAGACGAAGAAAGGGACTTAGGGATCATAATCGACTCGGAGCTGAAGTTCCACTCGCAAACGGCGGCGGCTGTTTCAAAAGCCTCGCAGCTGCTCGCGGTCATCAAGCGATCCTTCGCTCACATCGACGAGACGACCTTACCTTTGCTCTACAAGGCTCTTGTCCGCCCCTTTCTGGAGTTTGGGAACGCCGTCTGGGGTACATTCAGCAAAGGTGACGGGTGACCAGAAACGCTTGGAAAGGTCCAGAGACGCGCCAAGCGTATGCTGGGGTCCAGCAAGCACCTTCCCTACCCCGAGCGTCTGGAGCGTCTCCGACTGCCGTCCCTGTTCTATCGTCGCCGCGGGGGAGATATGCTGACGGTTTACCAGCTGTTCCACGGTGGAATTGATGTGCCGCCAACCACCTTCTTCACCAAGAACGAGATCGAACTGACCAGAGGACACGGGTGGAAGCTGCTCAAACCCTGAGCTGTGACTCTCGCCCGACGAAGCAGCTTCAGCGTCCGCATCATCAGCGATTGGAACGCTCTACCTACTGAAGTCGTTTCGGCCGAAACACTCGACATTCAAGGCACGACTTGGCCATCACTGGGCCCACCTAATTATGTCATGCCACAACCTTAACCCGCGCACCGACGGGGGTCTGCGCCAACTTCGCACCGACGGGGGGGGGGGGGGCGGATGACCGCCCCCCTGAGATCTCGAGAACGAAGCGAGATAGCGACAAGCAGTAAACGGCATCGGATACGCACGGTCAAGATCTACAATTTTTACACAGGTCATTTTCAGGTCAGGTCAAAGATGACGTCACAGGGGTCGAAAAAGTCAAAATGGCGGCGCTAGATATGGAGAGAGTTTTTCTCGAATAACTTTCGAATTAGTCAAGATAGGACCAAACTAAGGGCAGCATCGTGCTCCTCTCGTCAATCCGCATCGAATGATATATATGTTGACCTCGAAAGGTCAAGGTCAAAGGTTGACCTCAGGTCACGTGACCTCGAGGTCATCATGTATATCATTCGATGCGTCTTGACGAGCTGAACACAATGAGACCATCCATGCGGCTGTATCTTGTTCCTGTACGGAGTTATTGGCCAAAAACCTTTGGTGACATTTGATGACGTCACATGACCTCACAGCTTCCCAACAGCAAAACAGACCTCAAGGTAGTGAAGGTTGATCGTACATGAAGTCATGTATGGTATATGGGGCCATTCCTACCCGTTTTAGTGGTAAAAACAGGGAGTTGATTTTTCCCCCATTGACTTATAATGGGGAGGTCGCGAAATTGACCTGACCTTAGGTCACCGATATCAAAATTCCGAGATAGACAAATTGTAGCTACTAATGACCTAATAACATCCTGCGGGCTGCGACTTTCAAAGGCCTCCGACATCTACTGTAGCTCTGGCACGGTGACAAAGTTGCAAAAAAGTGACTTGAGGTTGGGTCATTCAGAGTGACCTGGTGACCTGACCTTAAAAGGAAGGAGGTTCAAACTTGCACACCATGTGTAAAATTGATGAGGGAATAGTTGTACCAAATTTCGCGGCGCTACGCGCCGCGGTTTTCCCGCTATTCGCGAAAAACCTCAGGGGGAGGGGGCGGATATCCGGCCCCCCGTCGGTGCGCGGGTTAACCCGCGCCCTGCTGGGGGTCCTGGATTTCCACGCCCTGCTGGGGGGGGGGGGGTGTTTGAACACCCCCCTTCTAACTCGGCTCCTGGGCCACGTAGCGATACGCGGAAGGCGGCGTTCGAAAGAGCGTCAAAAATAATGAGGAAATCACTTCAGTCAATTTTTTGGTCAGGTCAAAGGTCAGGTCACCAGAGGTCATTGAAGGCAAAATTTCGCCGATTTCCAGGTCGAATGTCGACAATTTCCAAGAAGCCAACGCATAACTCGGGAACCAATAGAACTACAGCTCCGCGGAAAAGCGCATTCGATAGCCCTATTAACGCCCTTTCTGAGTAATTTTCTCAGATTTGACCTAACGTCAACGGTTTTGCCTGCAGGGGGCAAAAACTGCAAAAATAGCCGATTTTTTTCGGAAACAGTTTTTCTGCAATAACTTTTGACCCAAGCATTGTACGAGCTTACTTTTACCGGCATCGTGTTCCTCTCGTCAAGACGCATCGAATGAACTATAACTTGACCTTGAAAGGTCAACTTGAAAATTTGACCTAAGGTCAAGGTCATGACCTGACCGGAAAGGGTCATGTTGCATATCAGTCGATCCGTATCGTCGAGCTGAACACATCTAAGGCGTTTTCATCGCTCTAGCATGCCTCTATCAAAAGTTATTTGCGAAAAACCGTTAGATACCATTCGTGACCTTAGATGACCTCAGGGCATAAACAGGGGTCACGGACACCATTTTCATGTTCAGTGTGTCTAAACCACTTGTAATTCAGTGTTTGGGAGTGTTCATAATGTCTTTCGTCCAAAAGAGGCGCATTTCAATTTTCTCCCATTGACTTATAATGGGGAGGTCGCAAAATTGACCTGACCTTAGGTCATCGATATCAAAATTCTGAGATATACATTTTGTACATGCTATTGCTCTTAGCAATCGCTGAAAGTTTCAAAGCGATCGGTCACTCGGTGTAGCTATGACAGACATTGAAACTTTTTATGAGGTGAGGTCACTTCAAGTGACCTGGTGACCTGACCTTGAATGACCTTGGTCTGAAATTTTCACAACATGTGTAGAATTGATGTGTGATAAGGTGTACCAAAAACGGCGGCGCTCCGCGCCGCCGTTTTTGAGATATTCGCGAAAAACCACAAGGGGGGGGGGTGTTCAAACACCCCCCCAGCAGGGCGCTGGTTAAGAGTCCTGAATGTCTCTGCAAGTACCTCGGTGAGAACGGGACCTATAGGCCAAGTGGCCTTTTCTATCCCGATGACCTTTAATGTAAGGCAAGTGTTGAGTTGCGGTCGAGTGTATTCGGAACACTACACGGCACTACACACACGAGCGTGCGCACCCCGGCACGCAGCCGAGCCAACTGACCCTGACACCGACAGCGCCCCGCGACCCTGGTCGCAGGGGCGGGCCCAGCCGCTCTGACGGGAGGGTCTATCACATCACATCACCTCCCTCCAGACGCTGATGTGACAAACAAACAAAAGAACAGCAGTGAAGCGTCTCAAAACAAACAACTTGACTGGAGATACCAAATAAGAAACACATTTTCAGCCCGTAGTACCGCTGAAAAAAAAAGAAATTAGAAAAGCAATTAGCTAAATTGTATTGTTCCTTTGACTTTGCTATATTGTACGGTTATCGACCCTCAATACATATACGGAACGAGACAGACAAGAAATGCCAGAACCACTGGCGTGAACGATTTTGGAACCGAAGGAAATCGGAAGGATGCTGGCCCTCAGGGATTGCCCCGTGCCGCAGGCCAGGGTTAAGATACGTATTACGTACGTCCCGCCAGGACCCCTGGCAGTTGGCACGGATGACGGACGGTTTCAAGCCGGGAATATCGGAAGGAGACCGTTCTCGGGTGGGGGGAGGTGAGCGTCCCGCCAGAACCGCTGGCGCAGACGGCCCCAACACCAACCAGCGCGGGGACCGAGGTACTTATGTGGCGAGAGCTAGTGTCCAACTGACCGACCGTCCCGGCCACCGCCCCGACGTGACCTCGTATGGGTCATACAAAAGCGTTTATTGATAGAGGCCAAATGACGTCAATGGCCCAATTGTAATTCAAACCCACATAACAGTATGTTCATTGGCATAGGTAGTGCTTGCGAGTTGTCATGCTTACTGACGTAAGCATACTGAAGTGGACAAAACAGATAGAAAACAAATATCAATAAAGGAAATCCTGCAAGCACAGAAATGCAGATGAGAACATGCACATACTTCCCTGGATCAGATGATGATGCATAGTGTAGGTAGCCTAGCCGTTAGGGAGATATGGAGGGAAGAGGACAGAGAGGCTGTTTCGGCCCCTTCCAGTTTCCGCAATGCGGGGGGGGGGCAGTTTAAAAGGAGTGCATGAACACAGCTGTGTCTCTTTTGTCATAAGCCTACCACAGCACATTTTCAAAATAATTTCTCTTCTCAGGTTGAGCTGGAACGCCTGAATGCATCATCAGACGATATCAACAGGCTTGAAAATAAGTTGGAGGTGAGTTGAAGTGAAGTGCATCTATAGCTATTTGATACCTATAGCAGCAGCCAGATGACCAGTAGGCATGCTGATGTTCATGGATACACAAATAGCTACATGCATGCTTCACTATAAACAAGACATGTAATCTTACTATGGCGAGGTGAATTACCATGATAAGCAGTAAATTGTTATCCACACACTTCTGCTGGTTCTCAGGAGGCCAATGCCTTGTTCCGGACGACGCTAAACAACTCGACAGCCAGTCTGAAGCTTCTCTCGCGCCGGCTGGGCTCGGCCGTGGAGAAGGCGAGGCCGTACTATGAGGCGAGGGAGGCAGCGCGCCGCACCCAGCTCGACTGCCACTGGGCCGCCGTGCAGTTCCAACGGGCCAGCGGTGAGCAGCTCCGATCGTATCCCCAAGGGTCCAGACTCCAGCGGGTACTCTCCAGTTCCTTCCAGTCTAGGATCTGCTGACATTGCTCTGCTGCTATCATTGTGTTGCTCAAAGTTTGATATATTTGCATATTCAGATGCTGCAAATACACAAAGATCGTAATGAAAGAAAAAGCACACTAGAGCACTTCTGTCAGAAACTAGCGTTACCGCGTGCAGTTCCCGAATAACGAGCGACTCTCTGGTCCGCCATTCCGGCAGTGCTGCACCAGAACGCGCGCGAGACGATCCGCCTGGCCGAGGAGCGTTTCCTGCCGCGCCAGAGCGGCGCCGACCAGCCGCCGCCGCCGTCGCCCCAGTACCAGTTCGACAGCGCCTGGCAAGAGCTGCTCAACCACGCCACCATGAAACTGCTCGAGGCCGAGCAGCTCAAGCACGCCAGCGAGAGCGAACACCTGCGGCGGGCCAACACCTTCGCCAAGGCGCAGGCCAAGGTTAGCCGCCTGACGCCGCACGGTGGACCAGTGGCCATTGTAAACAAACGCGAATCATTCATTTGCGATGCACGTCACGTTTTTATTTTTCCCCTTGTATGGGAATCGTTGGTCCATCGAAGCAACGCAAGTAATAGATTCCTCGACCTCTCTCAAAATAATTATTACTTTTTGTCAAGATGCATTATAACAGCTTTCACAAAATTGTATGTAATATTATATATAGTAATAATATTTAGTTTATCGGCTAAGATAAGGTAATAATATGCGACGAATAATTTTACGTCGTATCTTGCATCCTCTCTCTTTTGTGTACGTTCATGCGTTTACGCGTAAGGCCACCACTGTATCTCTTGCCAGTTCTTGCCTTAACTGTGTTATTCATACCGAGCCCAGACGTGTGTGACCTGGTGCGGCGCCCTGTCTGCAGTTGAAGCACCTGGAGCGCTCCTTGGAACGGTTCGTGGCGCGCGCCCGGCCCTACTTCGAGCAGCGAGAGGTCGTTCAGCAGGAGCTCCTCAGACAGAAGGCAACTATTCAGCAGCTGCAGCGGACACTGGGCGCCGCCAAGTCCCGATACAGCTCGTCTCTGCGAGAACTGGAGAGCATCTCTGAACAGATTCACGAGCGCCGACGCATGAGGTGATGAACCTTTCCAGAGGGGTTTCCTGTAAACTGCCTAAAACCTCCAACAAAAATATTGAATCGCAAAGCACGTAAAATTCCTTGCTTGTTGTAAAAGAAGACACATCGTGTGGTGGTATTGTTATCGGCCTGTGATCATGGTGACCACGATCAATTAAAAAGACGTTCCTGCGGGCTACTGCCGATATATTAATGCACCGTTGTCCATTCCATGTTTTTTTAATTCCTCATTTTTATTGCTAAATTTACTTTGCAAATCCTTCCATCGCTCGCTTTTTTGCTATCGTCTCTGCTATTATGTTGACTTTTGTAATAGCTGATCGCCGATCGGTTGTGTTGTTAGCGATAGCGATGCTGTGCCGCAGTGGTATGGTTGATATCGGTTGTGTTCGTTTAACCGCAATGTGGTCCGTCCAGGGAGCTGAAGCCGGACCTGGTGTCGATGGACCTGGGCGCCGCTGAGCTGGACGCTGGGATAGAGCTGGACGGCGAGTCGGCCACTAGCGACTATCAGGAGGACTTCCGACTCAGCCAGGTCAGTCAGGCACCCGTCAGTCGGCACACAAACTACAAGGATCACAAAATTATTTATTTTGTGATTTTGACAAAATAATTTCATTCCTTTTTATCCAGACATCTTGCTATCACAGGAAAAAAAGAATGAAACAATCAGATTTTGATTCTTTGATAATAGTACATAGCAGATTTCCGGCTTCCACCCTCATAAAGAAAACAATACGAACAAATGCACTGAAAGAATAATGTTCGGATGTGTTTGCTGTCATGCATTGCTATTATCTGAACAATTATGTGCGTAAATATTGCAAGCTTTCTGCTTTCAGTTGCAGCAACGAACTGGGTCGTACTCGTAAATATCCAATATTATCAAAAAAGTTATGCCAGTATCAGTCCGTTGTCGCTGCTCCCCTTAACCCCAACAAACAATGATTACGTAAAACAGTGATGCAATGAGACCATTTTGTCATGCATCCGGCTACTGCTAACGTGCTGGCTCGTATCTGGCGTTACTAATTTCCTCTCCTTGTGTGTGCGTGCAGGAGCAACAGTACTGGGCGGATGTCCGGGAGCAGATCGAAGCCATGTCGGCCGGTATGTACGCCGGGAGGGGTGCTGCAGCGCCGGCGGGCCCGCAGGCGCCGCTGGCAGAGCCGCCGAGCGCCGCTCTCCGCAGGAGGCGGACGCTCTCGGAGCCGGGCGGCGGCCAGCTGGGGTCCGGCGGCGAGCGGAGGCGACCGCCGTCGGCCGGCTGGTAACCTCACCGAGTGTGGTGCCACATCAGTCTGAATGTTTGGAGAGGACATGTAGCGATACGGCAGCTGTCCGCGTCTGGGCACTGTGTGTGATACATGGGACGCCGTCCGCGCCGGACGGTGGTAGGTATAGTAGACACAGGACACAGCTGTCCAGAACTGAGGATAGGGTGGGCTCACCCGCCGGCCGGCCGCTCAGAAGAGATGCGTTCCCTGGACGTGACCCGGTCCCGCTCATCCCGTCCGGTATATTGACTATATGGAGGACTACTATCACACTTCACAGTGCGACCTGCTCGACAATTTGTACCCTATGGTACGCTCTGTAGGTTTAGAACGGCTCCGTCCATAGATCCCGATTCCTTGTGCAGCTGCACTGCAGCTTTTCAGGTTCATGTTTACTGAGCCTAGCGGATGTCGGTTGTTTATAAGTAGTGCAATAGTGGGTGACTTAGCCGCCCGTAGTAAGTGCAGCTGGATAGCAGCTTATCAGGTTCATGTTTTCTGAATCTGGCAGCAGTCTGTAAGTTTAACTTGTACATACACCGGTTAGCATTGCTTTTCTATTGAGAAGCGTGTTGACTTACTTAGTTAGGTATTGTTATCGGCAGCGCATTTTTGCAGCGTGATAAGTCCCGAAAGCCTGCAGTGCGATTATCGTTATGGGCATTGAGTCTTGTGAGTTAGCTTAGTGATAATGATGCTGGTAGGCATGCTAAAATGTTCATGAATATGTATTGTCGAGTTAAGGTGAAAAGACATTTGTAAGGTTTATGTGTACATGCTTAAACGACTTCTCATATTTTCCGAAATTTTCTTCAGAATTGCCGCTTCAGAGAGTCGTGGAACAATCTGTACCTACCTATGTTCTCACTCGCAATTCACTGATGGTTGTGCCGTCCTGAATTTTGGTTATACAGGCCAAGGCGTCGGTCAAGACCATGGTATGTTATGTATTTAGCACACGAACTAATAACGGTGTCGTGGTGTGGTATCTGCTGCAAAATGTTTATTAGAATATCTAATAATAACATCTACCGGAAGTTCTATCGCTGTCTTTTGGCATGATGGAATGTCATGAAGTCGCCTGGAAAATAACATTCAAGTTTCTCCTTCACGCACATATTTTTTATCGCATATATAGTACCACTTCACCACCACATGTAACATTGGTGTAATTTATAAATAGAGAACGACAAATGCATTACGGATGCCGTCTATTCTATCATAAATTCTTATTCACGTAGGAACGTAGGTACGAACCAAGATTCTTCAAGATATACGAACTTCTTCTTTGATGCCTATGGACGTTGCATGGAAAGAATGGGACCAAAAGTCGGCATTGCCCCCCCCCCCCCCTTTATATTGAAGGTGTTCCGCCGCTACTGGGATGAAGCAACCTAGCAATTAAAACATCTTGTCAACGCTTTTTTACCATCTTTCCTCCGGACTTCGAATCGCACACATGCCGACTGTGTTGACCTATACCCAAGATTCTTACAGATATACCTATACCTATAGGTACCCTGGTGTTGACATCGGTCATCGACCATAAATAAATATTATTAAATGCGCCTACTTTTCTCTAGTAATCAGATGTGATGAATGCCATGGAAAAAAATAGATAAGTCCAGAGTAACAGAGGCATTGTGCGCAAATATTTGTGAGAATAATGTTGGTCAAATGTGGTCACATTATTCATCATTGAAATGGACAGACAAGTACCAGTCCGAATCCAAGGCTAAATTCACGAACTTCAATAGTGCGCCATTATTGTACTTCACGTTCAAATGACGTCATAACCAGTTTTTTGAGGAGGACGTCAACACGGTAGGTGGTAAATAGGGTAATTACATAAGAAATATGCTAATTTAACCGATTTTATCATACTTGGTGTAAGATGGGGTGCTATCATCAAAGTGCTTTTCACTCATCAAAATGGGCCACCTGAATTTGAGGTGTTTGAGATCTAAGATTGATGAAGTCGTGACCTTACCTTAGCTCAAGTTTTTTTGATTAGGTATCTTTTATCCATTAATTTATCTATGTAGGGAGACGTTTACACCCTTAATGCGCATATAATGTGAGGGGACATGTCAAATAGCAATTTCGGTCAAACATGGTCTGGTGATATAGGTCAGCCCGCCAGACAGGTGAAGGAGTATTTGGGCAAGGATCATGAAAGTCCTCCTCAATATTCAGGGTAGGTGTAAAATCAATCAATTTGAGGCTACTGAAGGTCCTGTCATGATCTGCCGCTTTTTGCTAGAGTTAGTAGCGAAAAATTGAGGGTAGTCTGTTTGACCCCTTCTATATATAAAAAAGACTATATTCAAATACACAATTAAAAGACAGAGCTTTCGGTAACAAATACCTTGATCACTGTGTGTGCTGAAATGAAAATGACCCCTTCTATATGTACGATGTGATTGGGTTTGTATCAGTCCTTGTGTGTCTCAAGGTAAATTTACTATACAAGTGTTAGTGACAAAGTTAAAGGAAGTTTGCTTCAAATTTGTTGCTATCTTATTATGTGGAGTGGACCAATGGCTCACATGGCTGTCTTTTTTGCAGTTGTTCACTTTAAATAGATGCGTGACTCCTGAGCCTTTGTGTGATTTCTGATCACCAGCCAACTGAAGGATGACATAATACATGTATTTACAGAGTATAAAGAACCCTGAAGTAGGTGATACTTGAAGAACAAAATGACGGCCTCAAATCAAGAGGACTTGGCACCAGAAGAAGATGAAGACTACTATAGTCTCCTGAACATTCCTAGAGATGTATGTTTTTCCCACTGTCATTGAATACTTAGATTGGACATGTGCAACAATTTTACTAGAAAAAAATGATATTTGGCATATAGCTTTCATGATAACTGGTACATTATATTTTCATTGGTTATTATTGACAGCTGATCCCTGCATCTTTTCAGTGTTGGTTGTGCTTGGTGGCAGGAAATGTTTCATATTTTATCAGGATCTATTCACTGAAGGCTACCACTCATTTTTTTGTGCCTTCTGTTTGAGCCAGGCGGTGCTGAGACCCTAGGGCCTAGTTGGCACTAAATAAGCACTCTTTATTTGCTTCTGATGGGGATGTTAGAGCACCTATTTATTATTCCATAAAGCCAAGTGCATACAGTTTATTTTTGAATGAGGAGCTTTAAAGTACAACCTATACAATAAACTCCTTCAGTTTTTGTTCTGGGATTGGAATTCAGATCATTCAGAAAGCTGAGCAAATTTATCTAAAATATGCAGTGTCGATTGATTGCCAATTGTCTATACTTTTGTGATTGTGAACTTAGTCATTAGTGTTCTGCTGGGGCTGATACCCAAGACCAGAGTCCCCAAGCCACTATATATAATCTGTCATTGCTTCATGTAACTTATATCCATTTATGACTTGATTGGTAAATTTCAGGCGCCACAAAGCTCCATTAATGATGCATACCGGCGGCTCAGTCGCCTCTACCACCCAGACAAGCATGTCGTGGCAGAGCAAAAGCAGCGGGCTGAGGTCATGTTTGGCAAAATCAAAACTGCCTATGAAGGTGAGGCAACTTAACCAGTGAGGAGACCCATTCCACATTTTTTCTACCCTGCATAGATCTGCCTCGCACCTCTAGCAGCTGCATATTTTTTACTTACAAGCAGGAACTCATAAAAGAATGTGCCTAATTGGTGATTTGATCTGCTGGTGATAATTTTGGTTTGATTTCTGTGAAAATGACTACTTTACAGGCTGATAAAACGCTGCCAGTGTTAAATATCATTGTTCGTCTAAACTGGGCTGTTCTGACTGTGTGCCCGGCCTCTCGGCAGTGCTCAGCGACCCCCATCGGCGCGCCATCTACGACAGTGTCGGCGTGGCGGGCCTGCGCACCGAGGGCTGGCAGGTGGTACAGCGCACTAAAACGCCACAGGAGATCCGAGACGAGTACGAGCAGTTGGCCAGGTGAGCCGCGCGCCAGAGCCGACGGGGACGCGGCTACCACCACATGGATACCACCGCCGGGCACCGGGGACACACGGCTACCACCGACGGTCGCCGGAGCAGCATCGGAATTGCCATTTTTCGATAAATGCGCTTTGTTTCACAATTTTGTTCCTGGTGTGCTAAGATCTGATGGTTCATGCTGGTCACTCGAGCGAGTGCACGTTTTTAAAGTGTTGCTGTGGGGTTCATAACTTATCACAGCCGAAGGTGCCCGTGTGGGTTTTGCATCTTTTCAATTGCTACTGTTCACCAAACACTGGTGTACACCGAATTTTGCGGTCATTTTTGGTGCATTTACCCACGCATCTGTGTCGCCTGTCGGTGTCCCCGCTAGTGCCAGAGTGTCTCTCTGTTTGTAATGCCGTCGTTGGATCTTCTGTTTGGTTTCGGCAGGGAACAGGCGGAACGGCGCCTGTTGCAGAGGACAAACCCAAAGGGCTCAGTGACGCTGTTCATCAATGCCACCGACCTGTTCTGCAGCTACGGGGATGAGCTGGACGACGACGAACTGTAAGTGTTGCCGTATTTCGAGCTCCATAATTGTTGGCGTTTTTATGTTCTATTTTCGCCGCGAGGACGATTGGCCCAGCAGCTGTACGGGTGCTTCTATTTGACTGTGTTCTGTGCTCGCAACATTGATGACTGAAACTGATCATCAGTCATGTATTGGTATCTGTTGACGGTGTTGACCGTGTTCCATGCATGATAGCGTTTGTCCCGATGCCTGTTAACAGCTGTGTTCTGCTCTCGGCAGGGACGACTGGCTGCTGCCCCAAGTGGAGGTCACCGGCATGTCTTTCACGCAGAGCATTGAGGCTCCGCTCACTCTCCGCGACACTGCCACAATGTCCGGTGAGAACCGTCAAAGGAACTTCCGAAGGTACTTCTAAAACCAGCGGTAAACAAAAAATAAGTATTTTTGCAATGAGCTTTCGAGTCGAGGGTTACTGTCGAAGAGAGGGCAGCAATTGGTCTGTGTTCCCACTGAAATCCTTATGGATACCCTGCGTAACGCCACTTCCAGATCATTTCTAGACTCCACTGATATCTGTCCATTCGCCCCGACACCCTCCCCCTTGCCTGTCCGACGATATTATGGTAAAATCGGTAATTGGATGCCCTTGTCACACCTTCTGTCATACTGTGCCCTGTAGGCACTGTATATTTGATAACGGTATAGATCGGGCTTAGAATTGACAAGAGCGTTATATAGGGTGCAGATATTAGGAAATTATAATGCATTTTATCTCATTAATTTAATGTCCCATGGGTCAAACATAAACACCAGTGACGGCTGAGTCATAGACTCATACGGCCGTTCTATCTGCTCCCAGGTAATCTGTCGACGTCGAACGGCACCGGTCAGGGCCAGGTGAGCTGCTCAGTTCGCCGGCTCTTCTCGGACCGCTGCTGGGCAGAGGCCGAGCTGGGGGTCGGCGACGGTCTCATGGTGTCGACACGCGCCTTCCGCTCGCTGGGCCGCCACCTGCACGCCACCGGACACGGGTTCATCTACCTGCTGCCGAACGGGCTCGGCCGCGTCGGACTGCTCGGCTGTAAGTTGCTATAATCGGTCGTGGTCTTCGAAGAGTCGCTCACATTGAACATAGGCAGGTGGCTAGAGAGGGTGCTTCAGTTATAACGTTCATTTTAGGCGCGTTGTAAATCTGAATGCTAGTAAAGCTCTTGCAATTTGAGAGAAGTAAAATATTTGAGAGCCTTTCCAACTAAGCCTTCTTGTCTACGGTCTACTTCGCTGATTGCTATTCCTCTGGCTATTCTTGGTATTGTGCTGGCGTGTGTTTTTGTATTGAGACGTTGTCGACTGTCGTTGTGACGCTGTCGATGTCGTTGCTCTCCCGCAGCTTTGGGCTGCCAGCTGGACCGCCGCACGGTCGGGTACCTCAGCTACCGGGTCGGCCGGCCGGCCGGCGTTCAGGCCATGGTGGTTCGCGAGACGGAGCACAGTCGCCAGTCGGTCAGTCTGTACGTGGGCGTACCGCACAGCTACGTCACCGGCAGTCTGACGGTCACACTGCCAGAGGCAGACGTCAAGGCCAGACTCGTCGCCAAGTGAGTGTCGCCAGCGCGAGGGGCAGGTCACATCTCGGTGGATTAATATGTGGGAGGGAAAACTATGAGCCAATAGTAAATGCTTGTAAGTGTTATCTGGTTTAATATTGGTTCCTTATTTTCGGTCATGTCGAAAAAATTGGTATTCATGACGCTGGGCGGGATTATTGACCAGTGACCAATCTGTTCCTACAGGGGTGGCTCCTTCGGTTTTCTTGTCGAGTGCGGCCTGGACAAGAAGATAACTGAGCTTAGCACACTGGGCGCTACTGTCAGTGTCGGTCTTCCCACAGGAGTCGCCGTCAAACTCAGGTTAGTGCTGATTCAGTCGACGATTGACGCTATTCTGTCTTGAGACTTGAAACTTGGGTGAGGCAGAGCTAACCACTTATTGCTATGCGTCCTCAATTTATAACTTTTACTCAAGGCCAATAAGTTAAATGCATATACCTATAATATATTATATATGTGAACTGCTACGAATATCGTACGACGACAGTGTAGTAGAATATGCTTTGCATTGATGCCGCTCATATGATCGAATCACGACGTTTTACATCTGTCTGCTGGAAGGTTGAGTCGGGCCAGTCAGACATACACTTCGCACGTGCGTCTGTCTGACGAGCTGCAGGCCAGTGCCGTGTTTTACGGCACCGTGGTGCCTCTGCTGGCCTGGACGGCCGTCAACAGGCTGCTGGTGGCACCATACGTCAGCCGGCGCCAGAAGGAGGAGGCCCAGCGGCGCCGAGAGGCCAACAGGGAGAGGTGAGATAGCTCACACTGACAGGAGGGGTCTGACAGCACACAGGGGCAAGGGTGGTCCCAGCTCGACAGCAGTGATCACTTTCGCTGCCAGGTCAACGTTCGCCCCTTCGCTGCGGTGCGCGGCGCTGGCTACATCATCGCTGGTGGACGCATCGCGGCCGACGGAGGTGGGGCGAAGGGAGCGGCCTCGGCCCCTGCCTGCCGCCCGAACGCCTCCCTCGGGGGCGCAAGCCCCGCCCACGCGCCTCACCTTCTCGTGGTGGGGGTGTTTGCACCAAGAGGCGCATCTGCCGGAGTCAACCGACGACTTCAGCTGCGACCGAGTCGCACACCGTCAGCGCGGCCCCCGAGTGGGGGGCTGCGCCTAAATGAATAGCCGACGGGAGCTGCGGTCCGCGTCCCGACCACTGGGCGCGGACCGCGCCGGCGGCGATGCGAGGGGAGGCGCTGCCGCCGGCCACAGGAAGGAGAAGGAGGACGAGACACTACCGACAAAACCAGAGACGGACACCAAACAACCCACCAGAAGAGTCACCAGAGCCATGACAAGACAAGAAGGAACGGCCGATGCCCGAGCAACTGCAACCACTGAAAGTGCAACTCTGCGTAAGGCAATGGCGCAGCTTATCGAGGCAGGAAAGCAGTGTCCCACGGAGGACTTCCAGTTGTGCACAACCGTGGAGGCGGAGACGCTACGTGAAACGATGAAGCGACTCATCCAACGGGGCAAACAGTGCACGGAGGAGGAATTCCGACTCGACAGTGGACTGCTCGAGACGTCAACAGACAAGACGGAACCTGAACCACAAGACATGCCAGCCTCCGGTCCACCGAGACGTAACTCACCTCGCAACACCCGAAGACAAGATACTCAGAGCCCTGCAGAGGACACACGCGAGGATCGGCCGAGGGACGGGGTCGTGGAGCAAGCCGAGCCGGAGAGGCCCCGTCCCTTCGCCGCCCTTGTGAGTGCAGCCAGAGCGCTCCCACAAGAGGACTACCGGCCACCAGAGCATCTGACACGAACAATACGAAGTACAAAACTAACTCACAAGGCAGAACTACACATAATTCAGTTGAACGCTAACGGCATCGGTGCAACAGAGAAGAGGGCAGAGATCCTACGATACGCCGAGGAACAAAAGGTAGATGTCCTCTGCCTCCAAGAAACCAACCTCCGACAGGGACAGGAGACCCCGAAGTTCGAGGGATGGGAGGTGGCGGCGCGGGCTGACAGAAGACAGCATCGAGGAACGCACGCCGGAGAATCCCATGGATACGGAGGTGTCCTGACCCTGGTCCGTAGAGGATGCGGCTTCGGCTTCGAACCGATAGCGTACGACGTACGAGACCAAAACTCCGACGCGGTCATGATAGATATCCAATCAACGACACGAACTGTAAGGCTGCTAAACGCGTACATAGCCACAGTAAAACCAAGTCACGAAGACACGAGAAGGGACGAGTTCAACCCGGACAGCCTCCCCCAGGGAAGAAACGTCATCATTGCAGCGGACATGAACGCACATCATGAACTCTGGGACTCCAACCGTGCGAGAGACCCCAGAGGGGGCAGGATCGCCGAGTGGATGGACCAACATGACATGTGTGTGCTCAACTCCGGAGCACCGACGAGACATGATGCGAGCGGTAGAGGCACCACACCAGACGTCACAATCTGCCATGCCGCCCTGAGCGGCGGGATCGAGTGGTGTATCGGGGAAGACCTGGCGTCGGACCACCGCCCGCTACACATCAAGGTGGAAATGCAAGTCAAGACGCCGCCCCCAGCAAAGAGAAGAGCGAGACTGTGCCTGCGGAAAGCAAACTGGACACTGTACCGAACACTGACCGACCACAAATTCAAGCACAAGCTACGCCGCATGACATCGACCGAGGCAGCGACAAGAAAACTCACTAGAATCATGGTCCAAGCGGCAGAGAAAGCCATCCCTCGCGTGCCACCCCGGAGAAACGCGAAAGCATGGTGGTGTGAAGAAGTCGAAGAAGCCGTGCAGCAAAGAAGGGAAGCCCGAGACGCCCTGAGGAGAGACCCTGGAAACGAAGATCTGATGGCACAATGCACAGAGAAAACCGCACAAGCGAAACAAGTTGTAAAACGTGCAAAGCTGAACGCATGGGCCCGCGAATGCGAGAAGATGGACGCGGCGACAGACAACTCGCACCTCTACTCCACAATCAAGGCGATGGATGGTCGCGGGAAGAAGCAGGGATCGACAGCTATCCTGAAAGTGCACAGAAGATCTGCAAAAACAGCGAAGGAAAAAGCAGATGTCATGGCTAAACACTATGCCTAAGTCAGCCAATCACAATACTCAACCTCAAACCAGGAACTCAGAGACCACCAGAAGGCCAGACGACAGGCGGTGAACAAGGCGGTAGCCCAACCATGCAAGCAACACCCAAACTGCCGGGGCAAAGTCTGCCGTCCCTACAGCCTGACGGAGCTGGAAGTGGCCCTGTCTCACATGAAAACAGGTGCCCCCGGCCCGGACGGAGTGATGCCACAGATGCTGAAGGAACTCAGCACGGCGGGCAAGAAGACGCTCCTCAGAGTGCTGAACAAGAGTCTAGCATCGGGAGAGGTGCCCACCGCCTGGCGCAGAGCCAAGATCATACCGATTCACAAGAACGGGAAACCCCCGGAACAGCCGTCGTCGTACCGCCCCATCAGCCTCCCCAGCTGCATCTGCAAACTGGCCGAACGCCTCCTCCAGGGCCGACTGGCGTACCTGCTCGAAGCGAATGGTACCCTCGTCCCAGAACAGGCGGGCTTCAGATCCGGCCGGTGCACAGAGGAGCAGATTGCCCGACTCGGCCAAGATATCATGGATGCCATGGAAGCGAAGCCCACCAAGAGAACAGTCCTGGTGGCTGTAGACATGACTGCCGCGTACGACCGTGTCAACAAAACCAGTCTGCTCTACAAGATGACGGACATGGATGTTCCACCATGTATGATGAGGTGGATCAGGAACTTCCTGGCAGATCGAAGAGCCAGGGTGGCATGGGACGAGACGGCATCCGCAGAGGTGAAGATGCGGGAGGGCCTGCCGCAGGGAGGAGTGATCTCACCGCTCCTGTGGCTCTGCTACATCAACGACCTGGCACCAGTGCTGCGGCGGCACGACGTGCAGATCGACATGTACGCAGACGACCTGATCATCTACGCCAGTGACAGCAGCGTCCCCACAGCCCAGGCCAAGGTGCAGGCGGCAATGGACGAAGTAGAGGAATGGGCCTACGCCTGGAACATGACAATCAGCGCCACCAAAACCAAGACAATCTTATTCACCTCCAACGTACACGAAGTAAACTCAAAGAAAAAGGTGGACATCTGTCTGGGGGACACGACCATACAGCAAACCAGCGAAGTCACAGTGCTGGGAGTCGTCTTCGATACCCAACTGTCTTTCACCCAACATGTACAGCAGCTGAAGGGCAAGCTGGCAAAGCGACTGCAAGTCACCAAGGCTCTGGCGGGAACCACGTGGGGCTGCAGCTCAGTAACCCTGCGAAGGATGTACTGCCAGTTCATCCAACCCGTAGCGCTGTATGGAAGCGCGGCGTACATGTCGCTGAGCCGGAAGACGAACAGGGAGAAGATGGACCAGGTCGCGGCCGCCGGAGCCCGAATCATCACGGGCTGCCCCGCCGGCACGAGGACGAGGGTGGTGATGGCGGAGGCCAACATCCGGAGCATCTCTTCTCTGGCTGAAGAACAAGGCGCGATCCTGAGAGAGAGGGTCATCCGTCTCCCTGACAGCGTCCCGGCCCGACAGACGGTCACCAGGAAGATGAGGAAGCGGCTCGTGAACCGGCAGACCTGGCGCGAAGAAGCGACCAAGATCGCGAAGGAAGCGCTGCTCGAGGAGACGGAGAGGGAGGCAATGTCCCTGCCACCGCGCCCCCCGTGGCTGTCGATGGGGAAAGGAAGGATCAGCTTCCACACGGAATCTGGTGACACCACCTCCAGGCATGACCCACCGGAAAGAAGGCGAGCGGCAGCGGAGCGCGTCCTGGAATCCCTGCCGCCCACGGACTCAACCTACTACACTGACGGTTCCACGGAGAAGGGGTTTGGAGTTGGCGAAAGGGGAGTTGTCCGCATCGAGCAAGGCCGAGGCAACGCGACCTGGAGCGTACCGGCCGGCAAGTGGTCAAGCTCGTACCGGGCCGAGCAAGTGGCTTTCCTGGCAGCTGTGAGGGACGCAGCGGGAGCCCCAAAGGAAGTCAAGACGACCCGCCTGTGCACCGACTCACTCTCACTGGTAACCTTCCTCAAACAGGGTACCAGAGGGCCCACCCCAGAAACCCTTACCGAGATATGGACAGGCCTGAACCATCTCAGTCGCAGAAAAGTGAACATACAAATCGTCTGGATCCCTGGCCACGCAGACATCGCGGGAAATGAGCAGGCAGACCAGGCAGCAAACACCGGAAGGACCCTCCCTCAAGAAACGGCCAAGATCGACCTCCCGTCGGCGAAAGTGGCCATCCGTGGTGTGTGCTGGAAGAAATGGTCTGGCACGTACCACACCACCGTGCCCCCGGAGCACACACACCGGAGAGCGACGGACGGGCGCTGCCTGAAGTATGAGAGTGAATGGGCCAGACGGGACCAGGTTCTGCTCCATCAGCTGCGAGCGAACCGCTGTCCACTGCTCCAAGCCACACTAGCCAGATGGAACAGGCCGGACACCGACGGCCTGTGTCCCGAGTGTGGCGTGCCGGAGGACACGGAACACGTGGTCTGAATGCCCGAAATACCAGGCGGCGCGGTCTGCGCTCCTCGGCCACACCCCGACACTGACGGTGCTACAAGAGGACCCGGACGCGGTGCTGAGGTTCTTCAGGAGGACTGGCCTCCTGCCGGAGGCTCGATGATCGGCCCGCCGGAATCGCCGGACAACAGAAGAAGAAGGTCAACGTTCCACCCGCCAGACTCCTGATCCATGCCACGAGTTTGTTTAGTGATGTGCGTATGTACGACACATGCGTACTTGGAAGATCCTTCTATTATGTGTGCCGAGTGCCACTTATTCCTTACATGACTGAACGTAGCATTCATGATTGGCTGCCTCTTAGAATATAAAACAATTACTGCTTCGTGCTCACGAATCGGATGGGTCCGCTGCTAGCATTACACCCAGTGTTATTCTCCCGTCAAGCAGCCTGATCGTTTGCTATCGGCAGGACGGCGGCGAAGCGCAGGGAGGCGGAGGCTGCCGTCAGTCTGATGCGCGAGACGGTGGCCAGGATACGGCAGGCCGAGGAGCTGCGCAGGGGACTCGTCATCACCGCCGCCTGGTGAGCCAAATGATGACCTGACGATCCGAAACAGCTGCCTACCAGATGGGTAGTGCGGCGGCAGAGACACGGCGCGAATGGAGGGGGCTCCTGGATGTGATAGTTTAGCTTCGAATCGGGTTTTTATATTTTTTCCTCCACGGGGCATGATTTTTTGCACAATTCGTGTTGGAATCTCATGGAGCATTGTCTAATATATTTATCAATGATTCACGGTCTTTTCTGCGCTATTGACCGACTGTGATTATTCGTACGTGTAGGTACGGTCGCATTGTGCAGGCCGGCTCGGGTGACCAGGCCAACGGTGGTATGGAGGATCTGGTGGACGTCACCATCCCGCTGCAGTGCCTCGTCACCGACTCCAAACTGATCCTGCAGGAGGGAACCAAGGTCGGTGGGGACTGGGTGATTACGAGCGAGCGAGCGCAGCGAGCGAAGCGAGTCTTTTCAATATAACGGAAAAATCTCAGTATGAGCGGCCCGGCCCGGCCCGGCCTGTAACGCTTTTGAGAGGCTTATACCTCAGCAACCGCTAGACCGATTGGCCTGCGGTCTTTTTTGCTGGGTAGCCCCATCCCTTCTACCCCATAATTGACTACTTTTGATACATCTCAGTGACCGTCGTGGCACGTGCCACGTGAAAAGTCAAGGGTGTTCAAGCTGTTTTGCAAAAGTACCTAGTGATTTTTAGAGGCTCATATCTCAGCAGCCGCTTGGGCGATTGGCTTGCGGTAATTTTTGTAGGGTAGCAGCATCCCTTCTACCAAAAATAGGATACCCCCGATGCATGTGTGTCACCCCCAGTGCACGTGCAAAATACAACAATAAGAGGTGTCAAATTTGTTCCCATTTTAATAACTCGGTAATTTAATAACTCGGTATTTCAGAGCCACCTGCCGGGCTTCTTTGACCCGGCGCCGGACACAGAGAAGAGCCTGCAGGTGGAGTACCTGTTCCACAACGCGCGGCACCAGGTGACCGTGGCCGACACCGACCCGCTGCGAATACCCAAACCATGTGAGTCGCCGGGCCGCGTGTGTACCGTCTGTCGGGCCGTACAGGCAGTCGCTCATCGACAGTACATAGTCTCAATCAGTCCACAATTATATGTGTGGGCAACTCATGTTGCAACATTTATCATCAAAATATGTTCGTAAGCCGTTCAAACTTACTTTGAAATTTAATTTGCTGCTGACACCGTCAAAGCGAAACTTATATGACGCCATGAGATACAATGTCGGATTTGCATTATGCTCAGAAATGGTTTGTTCTCACTCACTCACTCACTCACTCACTCACTCACTCACTCACTCACTCACTCACTCACTCACTTTCCTCTTCTCTTGCAGCTCATCGAACAGAATCGTGACCCCAGTCAGTCCACTAGTCGACTAGTGCAATGAGCCGTACCGGCGCGCGCCCACCCCTGGCCAGCCTGGCGCCTCGAGCCGCACGCTGTGGCCGGACCGGCGCTGCCGCCTGGATGATACCAGGCCTACATGAGCGACTGCCGATTACGCAATATGGTTCACAATACACGAGAGCGAGAGAGCGAACGACGCCACTGTTTGCATCGTGCCAGGGAGCTGTGAATGGGCGCTGGTGTAGTCAAAGCCATGGGCGCAAGAGGCAGTTATACCCCTGAGACTTGAGAGGTCTACGAGGCTCGATATACGAGGCTCATAGATATGTTTTTCCGTTACCGGGACCCGGGTTACTGTAGTTGTTGGAGTGGTGGATTGATGTAACTCGACGCACAAGATCAGGTCGGGCTCGGCTGAACGGGCTGATTGCTAATAAGTACCACTTCAAATGATTCCCAACCGGGTGGTGAATTGCCTGCTTCACAGTTGTGGCATGCATCTGATTTGCATAATGGGACATTCGGAGCAGGTTCGCTACCACTGGGCACTGGACATGGCCAGAGAATCTTAGCCGGGATTTGGGCGACGATTGCGTCTGCGTGGCTTGCTCGATCTACTGGAAAAGCTTCAGAGCGGAGGTATTATGCGCGACTATGTTGGATCATACACCTCTACGATTCCGGATCATAACTTCAGATAATGTTGTCATTGCATTGGGACAGCGATTTGTCATATTTTCCAATGTTCAGCGTTTACTGAACCGAATGCGGTTCGAAATTCGCGAATGTAATGCCACTGCTGGACAGTGGCGGATCCAAGGGGGGGGGGGCAAAATGGGCAATTGCCTCCCCCCCCCAAACGGCATAATTTTAACATTACGCCTATGGACGATGCATGGAAAGAATCGATAAATTGTTATGGTTTGCCCCCAAAAAAACTCTGGGCTGGATCCGCCTCTGCTGCTGGATGACCATAGAAAAGTGCATGACGCTAGCTAACCATTGCGAATGAGTAGTCGCTTGGGTAATATTTTAAGCCAAGGCACGATTATTCTGATCGCCAAATCTTATTTGTTCTAATTTGCAATATTTTAGTCTAATATTTATAGTCACCGTGCTGTTTTCATTTTTTCATTCCGATTTTGATGACGTCATTTTGAGGCATTCAAGACGATGAAGCATGTCATTCATTTGTAGCGCTGTTCGGCAGCCGGCTATTTTGTGTGCAGGGTATGACGTATTTCGCGAGCCGACGTCACAGGCGGTGACGTCGGCTCGCGCGCGAGCCGAGCGCCAACGACAAACTAACGGGAACCCTCGGACACCCTCGGGGCATAAACCCAGGCCCAGGGCCCTGTTTCACCGGTGATAGCAGCACGCTGCTATCACGTTTCGCGAGCTGACGTCATGTCATGACGCCATACTGTTGACGTGATGGGCAGTTCTGGCGCACGATTGCCGCGACCTTGGCCGCGGCATTAAGTGACGTATGAGCCACTAAAAGTAAGAGTTTACGCAGTAATGATAGTATATTTATTTTTAATATATATTTTCTTTAATATAATGTATTTAAAATAAGTTGGGTTTAAGGAAAATTTGGACGTAAACTTCGAACATTTAGTTGATGACGTAAAACAATATTGCGGCAATTGTGCGCCAGAATTGCCCCTTACGTCAGCAGTATGACGTCATCACATTACGTCAGCTCGCGCAATTTGATAGTAGCTTGCTGCTATCACCGCTGAAACAGGGCCCAGGTCACTCCACTTTTGATGACATCATATGGGGGCCTCAGGACAATAATGGCGCGGCGCGCCACAATCGCTTCAAAGCTACTTGCCAACAGTTGCCATTTTTGAAAATATTATTTTGAAATAAAGTTTCAAGCAGTGTTCCATTTTTCAGACTTTTTGGTGGCAAATCACACCTAATGGGGAAAATATTTTCATCCCTAAAATATGAATGACCGACTTTACTTCATCTCTGAAAAAGAGTTTCATGTATTCCCAACAGCCAGTTCACACGTCACTTGACAGTTGATGCACCCACTTACTTTTGTTCCACACCCTGTCAAGATCGTGACATGAAATCCTAGTTTATCAGTTGGCATGAAAATTGGCATTACACCATTTTGAAAAAATACTTCAGTTATTTACTTTCTTTTTCGTCATCCTAGGATTCTTCTACTTCATCGGCACACCCAACCAATATCCAATTTTAGAACACTGGTTTCAAGTAACAAAAATATTGTAATAAAGTTGTTGAATAAATCGATACCATATCTAAAAACTTACTGAAAAATGATTTATTCATAGTAAAAATATAAGCTCGATGCATTTTTACGTTGCTTTCCTGCAACTGCAGAGGGTTTTCAAATCGTCTATATCTTCAAAATCGGCCATTTCTTAGCATATTGCTGCTCTTTTTTATCGCTAGAAAATTAGTTGGACTTTCCAATGACATCAATGGTTGAGTGATATATGTAGATTGTCACCAACAATCTTCAAATGAAGTTAGTCATTTTTACGTTGTAAAGGAATGGAGTACCCCTTTCGAGCATCAGGGGTGACGTCACTCAGGATCTGTCTCTGATTGGTCGGCGGGGGAGTGACTGTACCTTCTATAGATGGCCTTGCATAAACCGCGGAGTAGCATATTGAGCGAGTTTTATAAGGAAAATTCATATTTTTTCGTTTCTCAAATGATAATCAGGGTGTCTCTTACCTTTTTACATATCATTTAGGCTTACCTAACACTTCAGTTGCCAAATATCTGCAATTTATTCAAGCCAAGGTATCTTCAGTAAATATCAATGGTATAGACCGAAATCTTTTAAATAAAAACTCCAACCAACAGAAATAAAAATAACTTAATTTATTCCAACCATTTCCTCCAAATAAACAACATAAAAACTCACTTTTACACACATCATCCATAATAAAGCATACTAACACGCCGCTTTTGACAATTGCGGCGTCGAGTGGCGCGCTGCTAGCGCTCTTTTTCGATCGCAGAGACCCTGCACGCGCGCGAGCACACTACGTCACGTCTGGGGGGCACAGGTATATGAAAAATCGCAGTGACGTAACACTTTTCTCGCTTCTCATTGGTCAATAGCCCGTTGCCGGGGTAACGTGCACGTATGTGAGCGCGGGCAAGAGTACTAGCCGGCCGCCGATCAGGGCTTGATCACTTCGTTTGCGGCGTTTACGCCGCGGTCAGTCATTGAGCCCCGCCTCCCCTGTGTTGGGTGCTGTCATTTTACGCTTGATTTTACGTTCCTATTATCTTTTTGTATTGTATTACAGCGCATTCTATTACAATTAGGGTTCTTCATGCCATGATTGTTCCTGTGGAGTTCATGATGTATTGACATGAACTAAGCATCATTTTTCTGGATGTCGAACGAAGTTCCTCATCAGTTGTGAAGCATCAACTGAAGGCTGAAGCTACAGCTCAAGGTAGGAATCTGTTTCCGTTTATATTCTGTAAGTTTCATTCAGGTCATTAAAGCTATTGTAAAACCTCTAGGGAATTTGGCAGGCACATGGGTCACATGGGTCGAACGCCAGTGGCTCGAGTAATTACCTATGTACCGTAAAACGGCGTGTTAAGGGACAGTTTTGAGGTGTTTTGTTATATAACTCAAGAAGGGTTGGAGATAGAAGCATCAAATTGTCAGCATTTTATGTGGAATTTGGTGCTTTACATGCCTGCCACATTTAAGTTTTTAAGATTTATACCTGCATATTATTTTTTATTATTTTTCATCACTGTCCCTTAGCACCTCAATGTGGGGTGTTAAGGGACACCTATATTATTCCAAGAAATGGTCATCAAATGCCCACAATTGGGGTTGGAAGGGCACACAATTTATTTATTGAAATGTTTTGCATATTCTGTCACAAAACAAGTCAGGTTCATTAACCACTAATGACCTTTTTAGCCAATTACGTGTAATGCAGTTTACGCTTGTGAAAAATGTGCTAATTCTAAGGTAAACAGAACCAAAAAGTAATCTTCTGTCATCAATAAAAACCCATGTTGAAGCTAGTCACTTGTCATTATGTTGCCCTCTTTGTTTTAGTATTTTTATGATGACATCACATTTACCTACATCAGTCTCCATTGACCCATCATTGTAAAAGCGTGTTGAGATGTTTTGTTACATAACTTAAGTTGTGTTAGAGATAAAAGCATGAACTTGCCAGCATTTTATGTGGAATTTGGTGTTTTCCATGCCTACTGAAAGAAAACTTAATGAAATAATATTTAAATATTATTTTTTATTTTTTCTTCCCTGTGCCTTAGCACCCCACATCCACCTCAAAATATGCATGTATCCGGAAAAGCGGAAGAGGATGATGAATGAATGGGTGGATTTGCACAAGTTTTTCAGGAAACATGTGCAATACATGTGACAATACACCTATGCATTCATTTTCCCTGTACACCCACTAGTTTATGTGGTACACACAGAGTTTTGGAGATGTTTCAATTTTGTGAAAATGTAGCATGATTTTCAAATCCATTTTTGAACCAAATCACTTGCATGAAAAATCATACCATTTTGTCCTATGGTCAAGAGCAAAACAGTGTCAACTACCACACTGAAGTTTTTATTGAACCTTCTCAAATTAGGAAGTTAATATGACTCAATGTTTTTCCCATGCAACTGTCCCTTAACACCCCACTGTCCCTTAACACCCCATTTTATGGTACTGATTAAAACTTTTGGAGGTCTGAATATCTTTTGTCACTTTTTTGATGATTCAAGGGTTGTTTTATGTGAATTTTCAATGAACTAATCCCACCTAAAAAAAAACAGGTGGTGTGAAAGATCTGGCTTGAGTTGAAAGTCAGGTAGGTAGGTGGTAGGTGTGATACTGACGGCCCGACTGGAAAAAATGCCTCCACTACGCTGAAGTTCTCGGCGGAGGTGATGCGCCGAAATTTCGGCGCAAGGGTTTATGCGCCGAAATTATTTTTCCAAGCCATGCTTCATGCGCCGAACATTTTCAAGGCTTACTGATGGCTGCAGGCTGTAGCCACGCACTTTTCGTCGAGGGGGGGGGGGCTGGCGTGTGTGTGTGGCTGTCTTCCAGTGACTACTGTCTACAGACGGTTGTTGGCACGGTCGACGGGATCGGGCAGACAATAGACATCAGCAGGCCATGCGGGACCGAGCACCAGCGTT